GCAGAAGGGTTAAAATTGTTCAGGAACACTGGTCTCACAGGGTTAATCCGTGTGTATTAAGTCCTATGGGAAAACACATCGTCTTCACGAAGATTAAGGAAAAGTAATCTGAATGAAGATCATAAGGTTTTCTTAAAAAGGGAAAATAGAGTCTTTTTTACTGCGACGTCTTTCGTGGTCGATCGGTAAAGCATGCCTGATAAAACGGTGGTTTCCAGTACAAAGGTTCGATTCCTAATAGACAAACTTGTCTTTACTAGGATTTCTTCAGTTGGCAGACCGATAGACGTAATATACACTATTTAATAAATAAAAATGGCACGTCTATTTCAGATACGAAGTGTCCACTATAATATATTTAAATGTAGAACAATCTTAAAAAGAATTAACTAACAGCTTTATCCTTTGCTCTTTCTGATTCTGTTCAAGTCATCAGTGGCCTAAGAAAAGTTTTTAGCCAGGAGAAATAAACCACATCCAATTTCGAAATTTAATTATTTAATCTCTACTCAAAATAAATAAACAGTATTTGGAACTAGTTTGGAGTAGGTCCTCCATTTGCTAGTTTCCGTGCTTGTATTCGATTTTTCATGGATTTGATCAAGTTATCAACAATCGTCTGATTCATATTTTACCATTCCTTTAGCAATGTTTCTTTAAGGGTTGCCACTGACGTGATTTTGGTTGCATGCTCTCAAAGTTTTCAGTCAAGGTGCTCCAAAACGTGCTCTAGTGGATTCATGTCAGGATTTTTAGGCTAACAATGGCAGTGACTTGATTTCTTGCAATTACTTCCAGGCCTTTGCTACTTTGTTCGTATGTCATGGCGATCCATCTTCTTGATAAAGGTAGACATTCTTGTCAATCTGATTTGTTTCAAATAGTGGCAGTAGTCCTTTCTCTAATATTTGGCAGTACTTTGGACCATATAACTGCTCGTCAACAAGAATCAGTTCAGATTTCCCTCCAAACCAGACAACGCCCCACACCATTACTCTAATCCGTCCATGTTTCACGGTCGATTGCAGACATTCAGTGTTCCAAGTCTCATTCTCATTTCTCCAAACATAAACCAATCTCGAATTAGAATATTGGCAGAATTTACTTTCATCAGACCAAATTGCAGGCTGACAAATTTCATAATCTTTGCTCTCGAATTCTCTCGCCCAGTCCATACGAAGGTTCTTGTTAAGCTCTGAAATCAAGGCCTTCTTTCTTGCAACAATTCTTTGATAGCCTAGCTTTTTCAGAGTCTTTCTCGCCGCATATAGCGACATTTCTATGCCGTTGGCGACAACTTTGACGCTCTGACGACGGCTTCTGATGACTTCCATATTTAGCGCCCTTTTTGTTCGCTCAGACACGATGCTTTGTCTTCCTGAACGTTGTTCCACGTGATAATGGCCATCTTCATTAAATTTCTTGACAATATTATTAACCATTTGATGATTAGCCTGGAAAAACCTAGTAATTTCTCTATTTGACTTGCTACACTGATGCCATCCTATTATTTGCCCTTGTTGAAATTCACTAATTCCCTGTCTTCTACGAACTTTCATTGCAAGTATAAGTCAACTATTGTTCATAGATTAGAGTAGCTTGATACTAACACTATTGTCTCAAAAAAAAGAAGTAACGTTATTAAACAAGCCAAAATTGCTCTAATTAAGGGTGGCTAAAATATTACCATAGTCCACTGATTATCTCTTTTGCTTCATTCATCTTCCATTTATTGGCAAAATCATGGCATACTTTAGTTGGAAGATCGCCAGCACCTTCTAATACCAGAGTATGGAAGACTTCGTGATTCGTAATTGGTGAAACTAAGAGCAACAAACTTTAGTTACACCAGTTCAGACATTTACAGCCAAGACACGCCATAGCACGTGCATAGGGTCGAACCACATTTATTTCCTCCGTATTCAATTGGTAAGAACAAAGTTGCACCTTCATCCCGAGAACCGCTCCCGAGAGGATGCTTTCTTGATCATTACAATCTTTACTTCTACAAGTCTAGAGTCATCCATTACCTATCTTACATATCCTCATACTATGCACTTTTAAGTATCTGTGTATATTTCTGAGATGAGGTATTATGTACACTATTTACATTATTCGGACCATTGTAACACGAGGAGAAGTAGAAAAATCAGTCGTGGCTGACCACATATGGGGAGAAAAAGGAGATCACCGCCCTCTGTGGGATCAGGTTGAGATCATAGACAAAGAACATCATTGGAAAATTCGTAAACTTAATCAGTACATGCTAGGCCACAAAAATTTCCTGAGCCGACCAAGCATAGAAATGAATACAATATGGGAACCAGTAATAAGGAGTGCGAGAGAAAAGCGATAACAACAAAAATTGCAATATGAGCTCTGGTAAAAACATGTCATGATAACAACAAAAAATTGCAATATGAGCACTGGTAAAAAATGGTGGTTGAAGATATTAGGTTTATAATATCCAGAAATTAATACACAGATGTCCTGAAGGACACATGGCACAGTGAATGAAGGCATTAGTTAGATCCAGTGAAAGGACCCAAAGAGTGTGAGTTCAATACCTGGTTAAAGCAGTAGAGTGGGGAATTAATAGGAGATAACTGATAACTGACATGCATTATACATGGCACGTGGAACTAGAACAGTCTACTCCAGTGAGCGAAATAAAGGGTTCTGTTAGACATTCCAAAAGGCCGAAACGTTGTAATCAATATGGCGACAAACATGAGGACAATAGTCCGAATAATGTAAATAGTATGCACGTTTTACTTCCTCTTGTCCCGTCTATGCAACAATCTTATACAGTAATCCTCTACTTTGAAGGGTCAGTCCATTTCGGCTCGAACACCAACCTCTGCCGCCGGTGAGAAACGCGTTTTCAAACGCCAACAAAATATGTAGTCACCCCAGGTCAATAAATAGCCGCCATAATTATTCATATGCATTTTTTTTACAATGATGTTCCCCCTCCTCAATCCCTGTGGGCCACTCGAGGTAGAGGGTTACAGAGTAAGATTCACAGTTTATACAGATAAGTGTGGAAGGTAAAGATTAACGCTAGACTTGTTGTGATCGGGAAGCATCAACTTGGGAGTCGAAGTCCATAAAGCATTCGTGGATTCTTACGAAGGGAATGCAGAGCGGTTCGCTACAATGTTCGTAGTATGGCGGGTCTTAGCCTTGAAGGTTAGATCTGGTGGAACTAAGGAATGTAGATCTTCTGAACCCTTTCCATAGAAATAGCGATAGAGCAGAGAGCAAAGGTCATCCTTGAAATAATAATTATAGTAATATAGAATTTTGGGTAAATTTGCTTTTTAAGCCCCGAGCTAAATATCTATTAAAATTTTCCCAAATTGTCATATTTCCGTGTAAATATACATGCTGAACTCGAATTAATAATTAAATTTTGATAAAGCCAACCATTTTGGAGCTATCGACAATAAAAGTTCGGACTCAGTCGCCTTCAGCCGTCGGCCATTAATGGCCTTGTTTAATTACATTCACCGCGGAACATTTTTGCGCGCGGAAGCTTAATTAACGGCCTTTTTTTACTGCTCTTAACTGATTTTACTTGTCTAAATTACTGCGCACTTAAGTTGTGTCAAAAGAGACTTTTTTTCAACTGTTATTTTTTATAGTAAATCTTTCTTTTTAAATTAAAAAAAACAAATTCAATATTAAACTAATGTTTTTCTTTTAAATTAGAAAATAAAACAAATAATAATTAATGCGCAAAGTTTGCCCGAACTTTGAAAAGAGCATGATTATTAACAAAATAAAAAGAAATGCTCCTCTTAGCATATTTTATTTTGTAAATAAAAAATCATGCTATTTACAAAGTTTGCGCATTAATTATTATTTCGTTTCTAGCATTTTTTATTTTGTAATTTTATTGTAAACTTTCTAAAAAGCATGATTATTTGGATATTTTTATCATGTGAACCGAAATCTTAAATCGAGGTACAGCATAATAAAAAATATCCAAATGTTGGACAGTTTTTGCCATTATTTTCTCCCTAAACTAAAGCAACTTATACGATGCTTTGAACCTCTCATGATCAAACATAATAGACATTCGTTGTCTGATATATTTAACAATATATGTTCGCTTAATGATATGCTGCCTCACTATATATATATATATATATATATATATATATATATATATATAATAGACATTCATTGTCTGTTATATTTAATAAATATATGTTTGAAATATATATATATGTGTGTGTGTGTGTAAGTATGTATATGTATGTATATATATATATATATATATATATATATATATATATATATATATATATATGTATATAATTGACATTCGTTGTCTGTTATATTTAACAATATATATATATATAATAGATATTCATTGTCTGTTATATTTAACAATATATGTTTGAATATAAATGTGTGTGTGTGTGTAAAAAAATGTATATATATATATATATATATATATATATATATATATAATAGACATTCGTTGTCTGTTATATTTTAACAATATATATATATATATAATAGATATTCATTATATTTAACAATATATGTTTGAAATATATATATATGTGTGTGTGTGTTAAAATTATGTATATGTATGTATGTATATATATATATATATATATATATATATATATATATATATAATAGACATTCGTTGTCTGGTTATATTTAACAATATATATATATATAATAGATATTCATTGTCTGTTATATTTAACAATATATGTTTGAATATATATATATGTGTGTGTGTAATTATGTATATGTATGTATATATATATATATATATATATATCATGCTAGTAAGTAAACTTAATGAAAATTGTACAAATTAAGGGAAATTGATGCTAAAAATAGTTGACAACAAAAACTTTTTTTTTTTTAACTAAGGGATTGCTTAATTTCTTGTGATTATTTTAAGTACAAGACTGGGCGCGGGGTTTTAGGGAATTGATCGTGAACGTGAATGTGGTGGAGGCATTTTATATTTATTCTCTCGACAGGCTTTTTTGCAAAAAGAAAGAAAGAAAGAAAAGAGTTGAAAGGAAAAGAAAGAAAGAAAATATAATATAGAAAGAAAGAAACAACCAAAGAAAAGGAAAAAAAGAAAGGAAATACGAAAGAAAGGACAAGGAAATAAAAACAGAGAGAGAGAGAAAAATAACAAGCGAATTAGAAAGAAAGAAAGAAAGAAAGAAAGAAAGAAAGAAAAAAGAAAGAACAGGCAAATAAAAATAGAGAAAAAGACAATGTAATAAAAATGAAAGACAGAAAAAATAAATTAGAAGAAAATAAGAATAACAAGAGTAAGAATGAAAGAACAAGAAAGAAAGAAAGAAAGAAAGAAAGAAAGAAAGAAAGAAAGAAAAGAAAAGGCAGGAGAAAGAAAGAAAGAAAGAAAGAAACAAACAAACAAACAAACTAACAAACAAACTAACAAACAAACAAAAGAGATGAAAGGAAAAGAAAGAAAGAAAGATAGAAAGAAAGAAAGAAAGTAAGAAAGAAAGAACAAGAAAGAAAGAATATGAAAGAAAAAATAATATATTCAGTACAATGAACATGATCTTCCAATTCATTATTTGAAAGTAATAAATAGGCTCTTCATTAAGGCTGTGTAACTAGAAACCATAATCGCCGGAATATTTAGCAGAAAATGCCCGTCTTGATGGCGGCAGACGACATTGACTCATTCATTAATGATACAAAAACAATTTGATTCCACAATTAAACATGGCCGATTTAGTCAAAGTGAAACCAGCTGTGGTCTATAAATTCATCGATTGTAATTTTGTAGGGAAATTACACCAGAAGATATTTGCCTAAGTAATGGACAAATTTCATTTTTCTAAAAGATATCACCAGATTTAAGAAAAAAAATACTGAAAAACGTCAGTTTTATTATAAAATACACTTTTTTTTATATTATCAACGCTGTTCATATGTTTCTCCTTCACATTCAGGTCATTCAGGCGTCTGTCGTATTGCAATTTGGTTGCTGCCTTGGCCCTCTTCAATTTCTCTAATTTCACTTTTCCAAGTATGCATAACACTAGAAGGTTGTCGCTCCTGCAGTTGGCACTTGGGTATGTTTGTAGTCTAAAACTGCATTCCCGAATCTCTTATTTATTTTTATTTGATTCTTAGCTTCTCCCCGTTGGTTTTCTCCGTGTCCGTGTCTACGATTTAATACTGATTAAATACAGTAATTCTGACACAAGGCCAAAAAAGGGGAGATGGTTTAAGGCTGGTCGACAGAAACTATCTTATACCTAGCTAATCAGAATCACGATCCATTCATTCGTTACAATTTACTCATTCACAATAGGAATCTACACGTCACTATTCGCTCCTACAGACAACAAAATACCTCATACGTACACTACTGAAAAAAAAACCTCATGACTTAAAATTTCAATATTTATAATTGCTTAAACTATCAATGTTATGAAATGATGGTGGGTGGGGGTGCTGACTCCGAAAAGAAACTGAAAAAAGAAAGATGTTAGTAAGACCCGTCCACCCTTCAAATATAATAGTTGCCACTGTATTCTATCTTCCGGCAAATTCAAGAGGCTCTCCCTCTAAGGGAGGGGGAAGAATGAATTTAAAATTAAAAAAAAAAGAACTGACCCAGTCGAGAAAAGCGCAGGCCAAAACAAACTAGGGAGGTTGGGAATCTCGATTGACTCGTAGGGAGAGAAGCCAGGCACGGGCCGGGAACGACACTTACATTAAGTAGGTACACAAGAAGAGTGTATCTTAAACAGGGAAGGGTTCCACAGGAAACCGCCTCGTTATAACTTATAGGGACTTTAAAAAAATCAAGGCCTATCACGCGAACCAAACTCACCATAATTACCCACCTTTCGCTGAAATCTGTCAATACCAACCGCTTTATATCAGTTCTAATCCTAGGATGATGCTCAAAGAATCTGATCAGATCCTGAAGAGAATAACGTCTTAGGAGTTCTTGAAATCAAGTATTGGTTACTACCTGATCGTTTGCCCCACACAATTGCACCCATTTTCTCCGCATTCATTACGAGTTGCTAGTTCGAATTTACTGTTTCATCATTTCACTCCTTCCATACTGTTGTGGATTCCGAGATGAAATTCGGTCTCCAATGAATGACAAACGCAGGTATGAAATATAACAAATAAATGTATTTACACAATAATACAATCGGTAATACGGTTAGTAGATCCACTAACACGGTTAGTAGCAATAATAATAATAATATATATATATATATATATATATATATATATATATATATATATATATAGTCTGGTAAATCCATTCTCGAAGTAGGACTTCCTTAGAGTCTACGTGCTTGTAAATGTGACTTCTACAAGCGGTTACCTCACACTATTACTCTACTTCCAACTCAATCACAATCTCTGCTCTCTCTACTCTGACTGACTCTGGGTATTTAACGGCAGCAGTCCAAGTACACACTGGTCGAGTCCACTTGTATGAAAAAGGGGTGGACCCCATAACACATACTTTGGGATTCAAGTATCTCATGATAGTTGTCATTTTCTGCGATTTGCATTGAGCCTTTGCGCTGTCGGTTCATATGCAACTATGATAGACATGCTAAAAGTCTTCCCTTTCAGTTTAGCTACGAGAATTCTTTCAGATTGTTGGTAGTATCCTGGAACATATTTCTTCATGCCTTCGTCTAATATGCCTTACTCATCTTTTGCATTTCTCTCCGCTTGCATGTGTTATCCTGTGTTTGTCACTGATGAAATCTCCATTATTTGCTCACCTAGTTTCACATACGCCTAGAATATTAGCAGTTAACCTATTTGTTAGGGGAAGCTAATTTACTTCACCTATAAAGGACGATAACTCAAAATACAATTCAGTTATTTTCCTTGTCTGGAAGACGAGCACGGCACTTCGGAAGTGAACTTGACAAGCTGACACTCACGTGTTTTCAATCCAAACAAATCCTTGCTGTTCTCAGACAGTAAATGAATAAAAGTTGTTTTATTGTTTGTTAAAATATACTTGTCTTTTATTTCCATTTATTTTTGTTCATCCCAAAAGCCTGGGATAGAAGAAATGGTTAGCGACGTGGACTCGAGCTTCAAAATCAACATGGCAATTTCAACCAAAGATGCTTAATGAGAACTTACGTCATCAGCATGAACAGTTTCAGAAGTCACAACAACGGTTAATAACAGTAATGGCTGCACAGTTTTAAAATCAATTCGAACATTTCCGCGCTGTGACAGACCAAAATACCAATTAAGAGTATATCTTGGCCATCATTGTTTACCATGTTCACCATAGTCTATGAGCAGTACGTAATGTTCAATTAATACTCACGAGTCAGACACTCTACTGAATCTGGCTATATCACCAATACCACCAGCAGCTGTTTCGTAATTCTTCAATCTTCGATATCAAAGGCTGGAAGTGATATCTAGCCACCTCCCACGAGGGTTACATGTGGCACAAGGCCTGGATTAACGTGGGATCTCCGAGCCCGTTGGCTCGGCCAAAAATATTCCCTATTCGAACACGTATAAACGGGTTCAGGGGTAGTCAACCTCCCCGAACGAGACTCTGCCCTTCGGCGGAGCCTCGTCTGGGTTATCAAAGGCTGGCAGTGCATATTCGGGAAAAAACATGGCCGCCTTTATACACCTCGCATTGAATATTTTGAGCCTTCTGATTGGTTAACCCTTCTATTGGTGAACTATAAAATGAGTCAGCTCATTTTGGCTGGCTCACTAGTACCACAGGGTACCCAAAAAATCCAACAAACATCTGTGACCCAGCGAGCGAAAAAACAATCCCTCCGTCGTTTAAACGATGGGTGGATACTTTTCTCGACGGCTTTTCTCACAAAGATGAAAAATGGGAAATCCGTCTCCTAATTGGTAGATTGGACGCGAAAGGAACATATCCAGTGATAGGACCCAAAGAGTATGAGTTCAATACCTGGTTAAGGCGGTGGAGAACTTGGAGAGGGGGATTAACAGGAGATAACTGATAACTGATATCCATTAGACATGGCACGTGGAACTAGAACAGTCTACTCCAGTGAGCGAAATAAAGGGTTCAGTTCGACATTCCAACCACTGAAGAAGGCCGGAGCGTACAACGGCCGAAATGTTGTGATAAATATGACGACAAAGATGAGGACAATAGTCCGAATAATGTAAATAGTATAGGAACATAACCGTTATACGAATTATATTTTACTGAAACAGTGGGAAAACTTACTGAAGTCTTTCAACATTGAATCAAAAAAAAAAAAAAAAAAAGAAAAAAAGAGAAAGAAAAAGAAAGGAGAAGACCAGAACAGAAAAAAATTGTATATATTTTCCTGTTATGAGTATTTTAATAGGAGCTCTGTGAATATTCGGTATTATGGTATGTTTTAGATTAAACGCCGACGAACGAGTTCTTTTAGTGTATAAGTAAATTGTAATAAAGGAATTAACTTGTTATAAGATATTCAGAGATGACCAACATTTCTCCACCTACCCCTTTTGGCCTTGTGCCACATGAAATATAATATTTCAAAATAAAAACATTAGATTCAATTGTTTAAAGCTAACAAAAAATTGCGATTACGTGAAGTTACGTGAAGTTTGCTGTTCACGTCAATCGGGAATGTGAAAAATTTTCATTAAATTCCTTCATAAAGATACAGTTTAAATGTTTGATTTTTATGGCAGGATTAAAATGTTCTACTCATGTTGATATTCGCACCCGGCTCCTTTCAAAGACATTACGTTAAAAGCCTTCACTATTCAATGCAATCGTTAATTAGGCATAAAAAAGATACTATGCAAGTTAAAAAAATGGATTTATCAATAACCAGCAACATCTACGGCTGAAAACAAACTCGTGATGAAAAGAGACCTTCCTCAAAATGTTGACAGTTTAGGGGTCTGGCATTATGCTTGCTTTTATCCGTTCAAGAAACATAAGTGCAATATTTGTCACCGGAACGGATATAAAGAGGAATTGTCCAGTCCAAATTCACACAAAAATCCAGCCCGAAAAATAATTAAAAAATAAAACGGGAAAAAAATCCGAAACAAACAGTGTTTGCAACGTTCAAAGTGGATTACGAATCCTGCAGAAAATATATTTTGTTATTTCTGTAAGCAACAAACCAGTTCGTTTCCAGTTTGATACAACGTCGGACATAACGTTAATATCGCATTCGAATTGGAAACATTGAAAAGCCACGTGTGGCTGAAACAAATTATATAGCAATAAGCGCGTCTGGAGGTACAATTCGTTTGACTGGTGAGTTAATTTGCGATATTTTTTTTCGAAATAGAACACTTTCTGGTTTGTGTTATGTTATAGATCATTCGAAATTGAATGTAATTGGTCTAGACTCGATAGAACAATTTAACCTTTTTAAAATTCGTCTAAATTCTGCAATTCTGTATTCAATACACTAGCAGCATGGCCCGGCGTTGCCCGTGCTTGATTCAAAAATCGTACGACTCATACAGCAATCGCTATCACTTGACTTAAAATATTTTTGCCCTACCTTGCCTTTAAAGGAGTGCCCTTTGC